TCGCCCAAAAAAGCATACGCTTGCATATTACTAATGATATATAATCAACTACACATATAATTTATGCAATGTGCTTAATTCTTGGTGTGATATAACAAGCTATTCTCCACCCAGCCTAATATAGGCACCAGAGCGAAATAACCGAAGTATAATAAAGAAGCTATTTGACCCGCCATCACGTAAGGCTCTTCAACTGGGTTAGCCCCTAACCAAGTTAATAACATAAAATCAGCTACTAAAAACCAAAATGCTATTTTACTTAAGGGCTTAAATGTTAAAGCTCTTAATTTACTAGTATGGATAAAGGGTAATAAAAGTAGTACCAAGATACTTAATATCATAGCTAAGACCCCCCATAAGCTTGTTGGGTATAGAGCGGAGTATAGCATATGCAAATAAGAAGTACCATTCTGGTTGTATATGAACAGGAGTTACTAAAGGATTAGCTTGAATGAAATTTTCAGGATCACCTAATACATTAGGCATAAAATAACAAAGTATAACTAAAATAGTGCTAAGAACAAATATACCAAACAAGTCCTTATAAGTATAATAAGCATGAAAGGTAACTTTGTCTATATTAGAATTAATTCCCAAAGGATTATTTGACCCAGTTGTATGTAAACTAATAATATGTAATACGCCTAATCCAGCTATAAGAAAAGGAAATAGATAATGTAAAGAAAAGAAGCGATTAAGAGTCGCGTTAGATACACTAAATCCTCCCCAAATCCATTGAACAACTTCTGTTCCTATATAGGGTATAGCAGAACAGAAGTTAGTAATAACTGTGGCCCCCCAAAAAGACATTTGTCCCCAAGGTAATACATATCCCAAGAAGGCTGTTAACATCATCACTAAGTAAATTATAACTCCGATATTCCAAACATCCATTTTCATGTAGCTCCCATAATAAAGTCCTCTACCCATATGTATATATACACAGAGAAAAAATAATGAAGCTCCATTAGCATGGATATACTTTAACATAAAACCATAATTAACGTCTCTTAAAATATGAGAAATTGAATCAAAAGCTAAATCAACATTAGGGCAATAATGCATAGCTAAAAATATTCCGGTAATCATTTGAATAGCTAAACAAAACCCTAACAAAGAACCAAAATTCCAATAATAACTAATATTAGAAGGGGCTGGTAAATCAACTAGTACCCCATTCACAATAGAGAGTATTGGGTGTTGAGTTCTTATTCGTAATATTCTGTTTGGTGATTCCATATGCATGCGCTCAGGAAGCTTGTGCACATCAATCCCCTTATATGGGGATATATCTCTATACTAGCAAGGCACTGCATTTGAACTTATTAATATACCAGAGACTAAAACAATTAAACCAAGACTGAAAGGTAAGTAAGATTTCCATAATAGATACATAAGCTGATCATATCTCATTCTAGGGAAAGAAGCTCGCACCCATACAAATGCAAATACTACTGCAGTAGTTTTAAGAGCTAAGCAACCCATTCCTAGAATTCCTGTGAAAGGTGCCCAACCACCTAAAAACAATAAACTTATCAAACAGCTCATTAGAATAATATGGCCGTATTCAGCTAAAAAGAATAAAGCAAACGACATACTAGAATATTCTACATTATATCCAGATACTAATTCTGATTCTCCCTCAGTAAGATCAAAAGGAGCCCGATTAGTTTCAGCTAATGCCGAAGCAAAAAACATTAAAGCAGCTGGAAATAAAGGTATTATATACCAAATTTCGGTTTGAGCTAAAACAATTTGAGTAATATTAAGAGAACCTGCACATAATATTACTGATATTAGAATAAGCCCTATACACACCTCATAGCTAATCATTTGAGCTGCGGCTCTAATAGCCCCTAAGAATGCATATTTAGAATTACTCCCCCAACCAGACATTAAAATAGCATACACCCCCATAGAGCTGATAGCAAAGATATATAAGATTCCAATATTAATATCAGCTAGCACAATTCCGGGGCTAAAAGGTATAACCCCCCAAGCTAAAAAAGCTAAAGTAAGCGATAGAATCGGGGCTAAAATATAAACCGACAGATTAGCATGATTGGGAATAGTCATCTCTTTAGTGAATAATTTTAATCCATCAGCTAAAGGCTGTAATAGTCCGTAAACACCAACTACATTAGGTCCTTTTCGTGCTTGCATATACCCTAACACCTTTCTTTCTGCTAAAGTTAAATAAGCTATAGCTACTAATAGAGGTATTATTATTGCAAGCGTTTTAAAGATAATTGAAATAATAGAACTTATCATCCTAGTTACGGAGGGTGACCAAGTACGTATTGAACGCGCATAACTTGGCCCAAGAACAAGTTCCCTTACCCTTACTATGTTACGACTTACCCATTCTCGAAAAGGAGGGATAACCCCGCTACGGGGCGTCTCGTATCCTTAACTTGAAGGGGACGACGGGCGATTTGTGCTAACACTGGGTTAGAATTCACCGGAACGCTCTACTTTCCGATTACTATCAAATCCTACTTAAGATTTCCGTTTCAGAAAATCTCCGCCTCCTAATTTATTGTGTATATTGTCTAGGAGAATGTAGCGCATATATCCCTTTCCATAAAGACCATGACACCTGACTTAATCCATAATAAGGTTGAGGATAACATTTATTGTTATCCTGACGACGGCCATGCAATGCCTGAGTGGCTACTACCTATAAAGGTAGTCCACTTTCAAGGAAAGGTAAGGTGACACGCGGATCATCGTATTAAATTACACGCTCCTCTGATTCAAACAGTGAACAGCCAAGCCTTTTGAGTTTCAATCTTGCGATCATAGTATTCAGGCATACAATAAGGTTATTTGCTAATAGCTATTGTATAAGTTTAAGGCGAGGACTACCAGGGTATCTAATCCTGTTTGCTATCCAAGCTTTCGTATTTCATGAAGATATATCATGAACGAAGTAAGGAGTCTTCACCTTCGGACTTCCACTCTTGCTTCAAACATTTTACCGCTACCAAGAGGTTTGCCTTACTTTATTCTCATGCTTCACTACATACTTTAACGCCTAATGCGAAATAAAAACTAGGCCTCTAAGTTTAACCGCGTCTGCTGGCACTTAGTTAGACAGACCTTAATGTGAAACCCTGTGTCAAGCGTTTACCCATTGCACAAGATTCTCTACTGCTGCCAAAATGTCTTCCCCTTGTTTCAGTGAAAGTGTGGCTATACTACGCATCTTCGACCAGGTGGGCCACTATCCCACCTATTCTAATACGTCAACCGAGATATTCTCCGTTTTATCCTCACCAGTAGGGCCCTATTCAGGGCCTTGCATGTATTAGAAGAACACATTGCCTTATAGACTCCCCAAGGTCAAAGGAGTAGTGTGGAAATATTTAAATCATCCCCATGACTCAATTTACGCTGATAAACAAATGGTAATTCATTATAAGTATGAAAAGCAGGCGGAGAAGATAAAGACCACTCTAATGAGTTAGGCGAAGTTGACCAACCTTTAAATGGTCTTTCAGCGGCTAATGCCTCATAAGACAAGTAAATGAACCATATAATTCCCACTAGAGCTATTACAGCTCCGCAAGAACTAACTAAGTTCCAATCTTGATAAGCATCAGGGAAATCCGAGTATCTTCTAGGTAATCCAGCTAAACCCAAGAAATGTTGGGGGAAGAAAGTTAAATTAACTCCGATAAACATAACCCAGAAATGGATCTTACCGTATAATTCATTATAACTATAGCCCGTAATTTTTCCGAACCAATAGTAGTATCCCCCAAATATAGCAAATACAGCCCCCATAGATAATACATAGTGGAAGTGAGCTACCACATAATAAGTATCGTGTAATGCTATATCTAATGAACTATTAGCTAATATAACTCCAGTTAAACCACCAATAGTAAATAGAAATACAAACCCAATAGCCCACAACATAGGTGTATCAAGCCGTAAGTTTCCCCATATAGTAGCTAACCAGCTAAATATTTTAATTCCAGTAGGAACAGCGATTATCATAGTGGCAGCGGTAAAGTAGGCACGAGTATCAACATCCATTCCAACGGTGAACATATGGTGGGCCCAAACAATAAATCCTAATACTCCAATAGAAATCATAGCGTAGACCATACCTAAATAACCAAAAATATGTTGTTTAGCAGAAAATGTAGGTATGATTTGAGATACCATACCAAATCCTGGTAAAATTAATATATATACTTCAGGGTGTCCAAAAAACCAAAATAAGTGCTGGAATAAAATAGGATCTCCTCCTCCCGCAGGGTCAAAGAATGTTGTATTAAAATTTCTATCTGTCAACAACATTGTAATTCCACCAGCTAATACTGGTAAAGATAACAACAACAATATTGTAGTAATTAATACAGACCATACGAATAGAGGTAATCTATGCATACTCATTCCAGGAACTCTCATATTAATTATAGTAGTAATAAAGTTTATAGAACTTAAAATAGAGGATATACCAGCTAGATGAAGACTAAATATAGCCATATCTACTGCTCCCCCTGAATGGGCTTGAATACCTGATAGTGGGGGATAAATAGTCCAACCTGTACCTGCTCCTTGTTCTATAAACATAGAACCAACCAATAGTATTAGAGAAGGTGGCAGTAACCAGAAACTAATATTGTTTAATCTAGGAAAGGCCATATCGGGTGCACCAATCATTATTGGCACAAACCAATTTCCGAATCCTCCAATCATTATTGGCATTACCATGAAGAAAATCATTAATAAAGCATGTGATGTTACAATAACATTATATAAATGATCATCTCCTAACATACTACCTGGAGCTGATAGCTCTAACCGTATTAACATACTTGAAGCTGTCCCTGCCATCCCAGAAAAAGCACCAAATAGTAAATATAAAGTACCTATATCCTTATGATTAGTGGAAAATAGCCAACGTGTAATATATTTGCTCATGCTTACTCTAGATTAAAAGTAATTTAAGTAAATGAGAACACTCTTGGTGTTGTATATAAATTGGGAAAGCTTTTGGGTGAGTCAGCAAAGTAACATAGCTAGAGAAGAATGAAAACTCCAATGAATGCATTATTAGGGGCTTCGCTCCTACGTGACGCGGCTGAGCCATTTCAACTAAGCTTCCAAGATGCTGCTAGTCCTGTTATGGAAGAGATTTTATTTCTTCATAATCAAATTATGTTTATTTTAACTATTATTATAACAACTGTATTATGGTTAATTATAAGAGGATTAACAGGTCAAGCTTATCATCGTTATCTTATAGAAGGAGTTACAATAGAAATTGTCTGGACTATTATTCCAGCAATCATTTTAGTATTTATAGCATTTCCTTCTTTGAAACTACTTTATTTGATGGACGAGATAGTAGAACCCGGTGTAACAGTTAAAGCTATAGGTCATCAATGGTATTGGTCTTATGAATACTCAGATTATCAAACTGTCTCAGGTGAAGATAGTACCTTAGAATTTGATTCTTATATGATACCTACAAGTGATCTTCAACCCGGCGATCTTCGACTATTAGAGGTTGACAATAAAATGGTTGTTCCTGTTGATACTTATGTTAGAGTTTTAGTTACAGGCGCAGATGTACTCCACTCATTTGCTGTACCTTCATTAGCTATTAAAATGGATGCTGTACCTGGACGTCTTAATCAAACCGGATTTTTAGCTAAAAGACCGGGATTATTTTATGGTCAATGTTCAGAGTTATGTGGTGCTAATCACTCTTTTATGCCTATTGTTATAGAAGCTGTTAGCATGAATAAATATATCAGTTGGCTATCTTCATTATGTGATGATCTTTAGAAGATTTTCCAATCATCAAATATGCCTCACTTAGATATAACTGCTTATTTAACTCAATATAGCTGGACATTAATAATTTTATTAGCACTTTATAGTATTATGAGTTTATTTATTTTACCTAAAATTCAAAATAACTTACGTATAAGAAGTTTACTACAGGAAGAAGGGACAGCCCCTAGTAAGGGATTCGGGGTTAATAGAGCATATGTAATATTACAAGATATACTCCGTAAATAAGCCCATTTCCTACATATATTTAATATGGCAGCTTCTTTCTTTGATCAGTTTAATATAGTTAGGATAATTGGGGGTATAATTACTAATTCTTCTATTGTAATGCTTATTCTATTGAGTGTAGTAATATTAATAGGAAGTTGTTCATATAAATTAATACCCACAAGATTGCAGGCTATACAAGAAATTGTTTATTCTCACTTTTTAGGGTTAGTAAAAGATTCCACAGCTAATAAGGGAACTCAACATTTCATTTTTATAGTAACCCTGTTTACATTTATTGCTGGGTTAAATATATTGGGTTTATTCCCCTATGTATTTGCCCCAACTTCTCATATTATTGTTACTTTCGGGTTAAGTTTATCTATTTTAGTAGGAGTAACAATATTGGGAATAACACAACACCGTTGGAATTTTGCTTCGATGATGATGCCTAGTGGGTCTCCTATGTTTTTAGCTCCACTATTAGTTGGGATTGAAACAATTAGCTATGCTTCCCAGGCAATTTCTTTAGGTGTTCGATTAGCTGCTAATTTATCTGCTGGGCACCTTTTATTTGCTATATTAGCAAGTTTTGGATTCACAATGATTAGTAATGATATGTTAGTTTTAAGCTTAGCCCCAATATTAGTGATGGTTTTCATAACTTTACTAGAAATTGCTGTGGCTTCGATTCAAGCATATGTATTTTGTCTATTAACTGTTATTTACATCAATAATTCTTTAAACCTACATTAACACATGTAAGTTATATTCTTTTAAATATTAGTAATAACACAATATGTATAGGCGAGTAAGTGATACTAATGGCACATATAGTGTTATGTTAGTTAGTCCTATGATTAAGAATAGGCGGGCGATGACAATTAGTAGCCCCTATAGAGATCGATATGGCTGCAGGGAAATATATTAAATAATATGAATAGTTTATTTATAGTATTCTCATTAGGAATAGTTGGAGCTAGTCTTATGGTTATATCTACGTCGAATCCTGTTTATTCAGTATTCTGGTTAGTTATTGCTTTTGTTAATGCTGCTGTTATGTTTATATCGTTGGGATTAGACTATATAGGCTTAATATTTATAATTGTGTATGTGGGGGCTATTGCTATTTTATTCCTGTTCGTCATTATGTTAATTCAACAGCCTAATAAAGTAGACTCTCAAGATTACTCACATTTTTTACCTGTAGGATTATCTGTTATATTCCTATTTTATAGTTCACTAACCAATATCCCTAAATATGTCAGCAATCCTGTTATAGGATCAAGAACTAACATTGGGGCAATTGGAAGTCATCTTTATACTACTTATTATGAATTAGTAATAATTGCTAGTTTGGTGCTACTAGTCGCTATGATAGGGGCTATATTATTAGCTAAACAGCCAAATTCACCTTTTTTATATAATTCCCACGAGGAATCATCTCGTAGTAGGCAAGATCTTTTCCTACAAATCAGCAGAAGCACCTTCAGGTGCTGTCTGGTCAAGTGCTAATGCACGTCTCCGCTTAGGAATATGGAGAGGAACATGGAATTCAAAGGAATACTAATACTATTTATCATTAGTGGGACATTATCAATTGTAGTTTTAGGGGCATCTTATCTATTAGGATATAAACAACCCGACATGGAAAAGTGTCAGTTTATGAATGTGGATTTGACCCTTTTGATAATCCGGGAAATCCCTTCTCCGTTAGATTTTTCTTAATTGGTATCTTGTTCTTAATATTTGATCTAGAGATATCTTTTTTATTTCCTTGGGCTGTTACATATATGGGTTTACCTTTATTTGGATATTGGGTTGTTATGTTATTTTTATTTATCTTAACTTTAGGGTTAATTTATGAATGGATAGAAGGAGGTTTAGAGTGGGAAAACTAGCTTCTAATTAGTATTGGCGCATGAATTATTTAGTGTTATCAATTATCATCTTATTAATCGGAATATTAGGTATTATTCTTAATAGAAGTAATTTAATTATTATGTTAATGTGTGTAGAACTAGTTTTACTGGCTTCTACTATTTTACTTCTATTTGAATCTCGTGTGCTCTATACGCTTTTGGTCAAATTTTGCGATTGTAATTTTAACTGTTGCAGCTGCAGAATCTGCCATTGGTTTAGCTATTATGGTTAACTATTATCGTTTACGTGGTACAATTGCTGTTCGAGCCTTAAATTTATTGAGAGGTTAACCCTAAATTAAAATGAATCAGATACCTATGCAATATTTTAACTTAGCAGAGGAGAATTATTCTAAGTATGGATTATCAGTCATCCAGCTTATTCAAATTGGTAAGTTCTATGAACTTTGGCATGAGCCTGACACCCCTAGTAGGCAACAAGCATACTCTCAAGCCGAGTTATTAATTGAGTCCTCCATGCGGAGTAAGCCTTTAGAGGTGATGCCTTCTATTGAACAAGTTGCCTCTTTACTTGATATGAAAATCATTAGAAGATCTTTACTTCAAATGGGGTTTCCAACTTATTCCCTTACTACTCATTTAAGTACTTTATTGAATAAGGGTTGGACTGTTATAGTTATTGATGAATTAGTTACTGGTAAATCGGGGCCAAAACAACGTGCAGTATCTCAGGTTTATTCTCCTAGTTGTAACTTAGAGGATTGTTCGGAATTACCATATGTATTATCAATCTATTTTTCTCAGGACGACTTATTGGGTATTACTTTATTTTCAGCCATGAATGGTCATAGTATAATGTTTCCTGTCTCTTGGATGGACAGAGATAAAGTAGTTCGGTTATTAATTAATTATCGTATTAGAGAAATAGTAATTTGGGCAAATTCAGATGGTGATTCAGAAATTTTAATAAATAAAATATATAATTTATTAATTGGTTGGAATTTATTTCCCTCTGAACCCAATGTTAAAATTGAAGTTATGGGAGAAGCGCCAATCAATTTCCCATGTTATTTTTCTTTTAGGTACGAAAATGATAATAAGGAGTGGCTTTTGTTACATATATTTTTGGGTATTAACGCAGAGTGGTTTAACAAAAATTATCAAGAATATACTCTTAGTAAGATATTTCAAAGTACTTGGACAGAAGATGTTAATCAGGTAAATATAATTAGCCTTTTAGGAGCATTACAATTTATTAAAGATCGAAATCCCAATCTTATTAAGAACTTACAACTTCCCGAGTGTTACAATTCTGTTATTAGTCCTTTAAACTTAATATTGTGTAATCAAGCAGAATATCAATTAGATTTATTGCCTAAGGGGAAAAAACTAGGTGGTCTACTTAGTTTAGTTGATTATTGTTCTACTGCAATGGGTAAAAGACTACTAAAATTCAGACTTCTTAATCCTATTACAGATTATTCTGAATTAAATTTTCGTTATGAAGATATTGCTACATTTAAACAATTAATTAGCGAGAAAATCTTTGACAATTCCGAGTTAAAACACATTAAAGATTTATCTTCTCTACACCGTCAATGGGCAATATCTGCTTCAAGTGATATTATCTTACCACCTAAAAAGCTTAGTCAAATTTATCATTCTTATTTATTTGCTAATCAATTAATAAACAAATTAATAAATAATATTCAATTACCCCCCTCAATTAAGCCCCAATTAGAATCGTTAATCAAAGCAATAGGTCTAATTTTCCAGGTAGATAATCTTCTAGGCGATTTTAAAGATGTATTACAACCATCTGATAATCTAACCAAGCTTCTTTCACAACAACAAACTTTAAGGGCCCAACTCACAAAGTGGGCCGAGCAGACTTCAAACATTGTGTTTCAAGATACAATTTCTATTAAAGTTGATTGTTTTAATAAAGAGGGTTATGCTTTCTCTATTTTATCTAAAAATCTAACTAAGTTAGAACATTACATGACTAGTGCCTCTATATCTAATAATTCAATTATTGTGTTGGGTAAAAGAAGAAACTACCTTATAATTACTAGCCCCACCATTCAGAAAGTGTCAATCGAATTAAATTTATTAGAAGAGCAGATTAATGTTTATGTAAAACAGACTTATAAACGAGAACTTAAAAGATTATATTTTAGTCATTTTGAGTTATTTTCGCCTTTAGAAAATATGATTTCTAGAATAGATATTGCATTAAGCGGAGCTATCGCGGCTATTAAATTTAATTATACTAAACCTTTTTTGACACCAACAAAATCCCAACAATCCAAGGGTCTAATTGAAGCAATTAATTTACGACATCCATTAGTAGAACAGTTAAACACTCAAGAAGAATGTGTGGCTCATAATATAAGTCTAGAAGATAAAGGAATGTTAATATTCTCAGTAAATGGCGCAGGTAAATCCACTTTACTTAAAGCAATTGGAGTCAACGTAATATTAGCTCAAGCAGGAATGTATGTAGCTGCAGATTCATTTAGGTTAAGACCTTATCATTATTTAATTACTCGTATTTTAGGGGGAGATGATCTTCATAAAGGCCGAGGTACTTTTGAGGTCGAAATGAGAGATCTTTCAACTATATTAAAGCTAGCTAATTATAACAGTTTAATTTTAGGTGATGAAATTTGTCATGGAACAGAAGTTAGTTCAGGAGCAGCGATATTAGCTGCAACAATTGAAAGATTAACAACTGCACAAACTAGTTTTGCTCTTTCTACTCATTTACACCAAGTTTATTCTTTAATTGATTCACCAGTTCGGTTCTATCATTTATCTGTTATTCAACACGAAGATTTGGGCCTAATTTATGAACGTAAATTAAAACTTGGCCCAGGACCTTCCCAATATGGCATTGAAGTTATGGGCCACATAATTAATGACAAAAAATTTTATAATAGTGCTTTAAAATATCGTAAACTTATTAACTGGAAACCACCATCTCGAAGTGAAGCAAGCTCTTTAGCAGTATTCCGCCCTTCTAAATATAATACTCAAGTTTTTATTGATTCATGTGAAATATGCGGAGCTCCAGCGGAGGCTATCCACCACATTCAACCTAAGAAATTAGGTAGTAGAAGATTAAATCGAAGGTCAAACTTAGTGCCAGTTTGCTCAAGCTGTCATTTAGATATACATAGAAATAAAATTTCTATTTTAGGTTGGAAGAAAACCCCAGGACATAAGAAATTATATTGGGTTTATCTTAATGAGTCTTAGACAGTGGAACTGAGTAAAGTCTAGGGTCTATCGGTAAGGACGTAAACACGAAATAACAAGGGAGAGACTTTGAACTTGTTTATCCTAACTGAAAAGGGTAAATTGAATAGTTAATTGAAACATCTTATTAGACTATGAGGAATACATCAACTGAGATTCCGTGCGTAGCGGCGAGCGATAGCGGAGGAATTGTCTCAAACAGATAATTAAGATGATTGGACATCTAGACTAAACCCCGATAGACACCTATAGAGAAAGTACCGTGAGGGAAAGACTCAGAATTGGTTCTAAAAGTTACCTTTTGCATAATGGGCCTGCAAGACAAAATTTGGCAAGCTTAAGTATTAATGAAGGCATAGTGAAAGCAAGAGGAAAAAACTCGTAAGTCAAATTTCCCGAAACCAAGTGATCTAACCATGGCCAGGTAGCTATTTGCTGACCGAACCAGTGATTGTGGCAAAAATCTTGGATGAGCTGTGGTTAGCGGTGAAATACCAGTCGAACTTGGATATAGCTGGTTCTCTACGAAACTTATCTTAGTAAGGCGCCCCAAGTTGATTCGCCCCCAAACCCGGGGGCTTGAATTACTGGTGCAGTAAGACTATAGCGATAAGGCTTCTAGTCAAAAGGGGTAAGCCCTAACCAGAAATTAAAGTCACTAATACAGATTAAGTGTATAAAGAGGGTTCAACTTAGACAAACAGGAAGTAGGCTTGGAAACAGCCATCTGTACAGGAAAACGTAAAAGTTCACTGAATGAGCTAGAAAACTCTAAAATCAAGGCGGCTAAATCTGTAACTAAAATTCTGGAAGTCAGACCATAAGGAAGCAACTGGCTTGGTAGTAGAGCGTTCTGTAAGCACGATATGTGCATACTTCGTGAGACAAACAGAAGTGATAATGCAGGCATGAGTAGTACAAGATTCACTCCCAAATAAATCTATATACAGCTTCTAAGGGTATTACGCCCGATGAATTATAATTCTTGTACTTGTTCAGGAAAATATTATGGTACTTTGTACCTTCAACTGTTATTATGGGACTTAGATCAAGGCATAATTTCTCTTAAGGAACTCGGCAAAATAAGATCTCGACTGTTTACCAAAAACATAGCTCTCTGCTAAAGGTTACTGAAGTATAGAGGGTGAATTCTGCCCAATGGTTGTATAGTGAAACTAAGGACTAACGTCTAAAGCGAAACCCAACTGAATGGCCGCGGTAACTCTGACCGTGATAATGTAGCACAATAAATAGCCAATTAATTGTTGGCGGGTATGAATGGAACCACGAGGGTCTTACTGTCTCAAGAGGAAAGCCGATGAAATTATAGTTGTAGTGAAGATACTACATAATCATTGTAAGACGAAAAGACCCTATCGAGCTTTACTGGATACCAATAACGTTGACTAAAAATGATCGATACAAGTATCCTAATTTTGAGTTAGTAATTTTGTTGGTAAGACAGTTTAGTTGGGGCGACTACCTTTGAATAAGAAACGAAGGCGAGCTTATTGGTATAAAAGCTAATCTCATTAGCCTGACAGTGAGGGGGACACCCCTAGCTGGCACAAGGACATAGTCCTATGTGGGCGATAATGACCCGATATGATAGTCCAAAATAAATATCGAAAGCGGATAAAAGCTACCGTAGGGATAACAGCGTAATATTGTCGGAGAGTTCTTATCGAGGACAATGTTTGCGACCTCGATGTTGAATTGCGGTGCCCTGGTGCTGTAGAAGGTACCTTAGGTTGGTCTGTTCGACCATGAAAACCGTACATGATTTGAGTTCAGAGCGTGGTGACACAGCTCGGTTTCTATCTACAATGATCAATCCCAACTTTTCTGAGTCCTAGTACGCAAGGAATGGTCTCAGCGATGCTCGACTATATTGGCCCCATCGACGTAATCAACTTCTGGCTGCTGCAAAGAAGGAAAACAAAAGGTTTAGGGATTAACAAGGCATATGCCATGTGGGTGCATAGCCCCTGGCATATTATGGAATTAACACTAGGGCTCATTATACTAATAGTGTTGACATATGGATTAAAAGCCCCGACTTTAAGATTAGCTATACTACTTGCGGGGGTTGTGGGGGCTACTGAGTTATTAACTGAGCCCCATTTACTATGTTGGACACAGGCTATTAAAATGTTGGTGATGATAAGTGGATTAGCTATACTATGTATGCTGGACCATCAAACATCGCATCGATCAAGCTCTTTATTGATTTTATTAGTGATCTTAGGTAATTTATTACTTATAGGGTCAACAAATTTAATTTCTATATATTTAGCATTAGAGATGCAAACATTATGTATGTTTATCTTAGTGGCTTATAATAAAAGCTCATTGTTATCGGCAGAAGCTGGACTTAAATACTTTGTGTTAGGGGCACTATCTTCGGGGTTGTTTCTGTTTGGTTGTGCTTTAATTTATGGCTCCACAGGAGAACTTGAACTTCAATTTATTCGTATGAGTTTAGAATCTTATGGTGTATTAGCTGGTAAGTGTCTTATTACTATCTCATTGTTATTTAAAGTGTCTGCAGCCCCATTTCATATGTGGGCCCCCGATGTATACGAAGGAGCTCCAACTTGGGTAGCTGCGCTATTATCTATTGTACCTAAATTAGGAGTACTAGCTATTATAGTACAAATAGGCTTAAATGAAATGGGGCTATTAATAGCTGGGTTAATCTCTTTGATTGTTGGAGCTATAGGAGCTTTGAATCAAACTCGAATAAAAAGACTACTAGCTTATAGCGGAATAGGCCATATGGGGTTTGTGTTACTTGGAATAGCTATTGGGTCTATAGAAAGTCTTCAGGCGAGTTTAATGTATATAGGTGCTTACATAATAACTCAAGTATTACTTTGGTCTGGAGTCCTAATTATATCCCCTAAAAGAAACATGCTTATTGAATTTAGTGGTGTTTCAAGATTAAACCCAATGTTAGCATTAGCATTAGCTACAGGTTTATTGTCTACTGCAGGAATTCCTCCTTTAATTGGGTTTCTAACTAAATGGTATGTAATTTTAGCAGCTGTTGGTCAAGGTTACTATCTCAGTGCTTTACTAGCTTTAGTTTGTTCTGTGATAGCTGGAGTTTATTACATTAGATTAGTAAAAATTATGTTCTATCAACCTTTGTCTACGCCTTTAGTAATAACAAATATATTAAATTCTCCATGTGGCAATGTAACACCAGAGGAAACAAGTTTAGGCAAGGCAATATTAATGGGGGGCAAGTTTATATTTAGTGTTAACAATTATAATATGTCCTAGTTTATTCTTTCAATTAGTACACTTGATTATCTTAGATTTATTCCCATGTATCTTCTAGTTATATTAATACCATTACTAAGCGCAGTCGGAAGCGGATTAGGGGGTCGCTATTTAGGAAGAAAGGGGGGCTGGCTTGTTAAGTTCTGTGTGGGTTCTCGTCAGTAGTCTCCTTTCTTTTGTGTTATGTTATGAAATCCTGATTAATGGGTCTACAGTATATATAGAGTTAGGCAGATGGATAGAGTCATATTTACTAATAACTAGCTTTGGCCTACAATTTGATATGGTAACAGCTGTAATGTTAATTGTAGTTACAACAATTAGCGGGTTAGTTCATGTGTATTCTACAAGTTATATGAGAGAAGATCCCCACTTACCTAGGTTTATGAGTTATCTGTCTTTATTTACCTTTTTTATGTTAATTTTAATTACTAGTAATAATTATGTGCAATTATTTATTGGTTGGGAGGGTGTTGGTTTATGTTCTTATTTATTAATCAACTTTTGGTTTACGCGCATACAAGCTAATAAGGCGGCAATTAAAGCAATGTTAATCAATAGAATAGGAGACATAGGATTAATGCTGGCTATTATATTAATCTGGAAAGAATTTGGGGCAGTAGATTACTGTAGTTTATTTCCGGCTTTATCACCATCTTCAGCTTGTACTTGGATTTGTATATTATTAACTATAGGGGCTGTAGGAAAATCTGCTCAATTAGGGTTACATACTTGGTTGCCGGATGCTATGGAAGGGCCGACACCTGTTTCGGCCCTAATTCATGCAGCAACAATGGTAACAGCAGGAGTATTTTTAATTATAAGATCAGCTCCCCTTTTTGATTACTCTCCAACTGCAACAATAATTGTAGGCTTAGTTGGTTCCTTAACTGCTTTTTTTGCAGCTACAGTAGGATTAGTCCAATCGGATATAAAAAAAGTTATTGCTTATTCTACTTGTAGTCAACTAGGATACATGGTGATGGCTTGCGGTACTTATAGCTGTCTAAGTAGTTTGTATCATTTACTAACTCATGCTTTCTTTAAGGCTTTATTATTCTTAGGAGCAGGCTCAATAATTCATGCCCTTTTGGATGAACAAGATCTTAGGAAGATGGGGGGGATAATCCGAGGTCTACCTCTAACATATGTATTAATGTTGATTGGTTCCTTATCTTTAGCTGGTTTTCCCTATTTATCTGGATTTTACTCCAAAGACTTAATATTAGAATTAACTTATAATAATTATTGTATAATATCTATTTATTGGTTAGCTTCAATTACAGCCTTCTTAACTGCTTTTATTCATTCCGATTAATATACTTAAGTTTTGTGTCTAAACCTAATTTAACACGTATAAGCGCACAACACTTACAAGAAGCTGATTGGAATTTATTGGGTCCTTTATTAGTATTAGCAATAGGAAGTATCCTAGTTGGTTATATAGCTCAAAATATGGTGTTTGCACCAGGTGAACGTCCCTTGCCGCTTGTACCTACAATAGTCTCTTTAGCACCAGTTATTATGTCTGTAACAGGAATATTATTAGTGTTCATACTTCGTCCATATATTATATATTATACTACACACCCTAGCATATATGGTTTCTTATTTTATGCTTGGGAATTTAATCAAATAGCAAATTATTATATTGGAAGTACAGTTTGGAAGTTCGGCCATATTGTCTCTTATCGTATCATTGATAGGGTATTTTAGAGATTTTAGGTCCCACTGGGATAGCCCAATTCATGGTCAACAGAACTAAAGAGTTAAGCAGTTTACAATCTGGTTTAGTATTTAATTATGCATTAATGATATTAGTTGGAACAGCTATCGCACTTAAGTACCTAGTCGTAAATTAGAAACAGAATAAAGAAAAGTTCTTCTCTAAATCCTAATAACCTCCGAATAGGAGAAACTAGCCAGAGTAGTGGCTAGTAATTATATAATATGATATTAGCTTTTATAGTAGGCTCTATATTAATAAGTATAGTAATAATAGCATTAACTCCAAGGGAAAATAGTATGAAACTACGCCAGCGAGCGTTAGAGTGGTCTCTGATTACATTTGCTCTCTCTATTTTATTATTAGTTAACTTTCATCAAGAGGCTCAATTTCAACAGATAATAGAATTTAATTGGATAAGTACAATGGGTTGGTTTGAAGGTTCTCCAATATTGTTTGCTATTGACGGGATCTCTATATTTTTCATTGTACTAAGTACTTTATTAACCCCAATTTGTATTTTAGTAAGTTGGAATAGTATTAAATTTCTTGTTAAGGAGTTTATTATATGCCTTTTAGGTATGGAGTTATTATTAATAGGAGTATTCTCAACATTAGATCTGTTAATATTTTATGTGTTATTTGAAAGTATATTAATACCTATGTTCTTAATAATAGGAGTGTGGGGAGCTCGGGCAGAAAAAATAAAAGCTGCTTATTATTTTTTCTTTTATACTTTAGTTGGTTCAATATTAATGTTACTTAGTATAGCAGTTATTTACAGAATAACAGGTACAACTGACTATTTATCTTTAACTAATATTCAGATTGATAGTAACATTCAAATTTGGCTGTTTATGGGTTTCTTTCTTAGTTTAGCAGTCAAGGTACCAATGATGCCCTTTCATATATGGTTGCCTCTTGCACATGTTGAGGCTCCTTTAGCTGGTTCAGTGATTCTAGCTGGGATATTATTAAAATTAGGGGGCTATGGATTCATTCGATTCGCTTGGCCCCTTTTCCCCGAAGCAACAGAGTATTTAGCACCAATCATACTAACGTTATCACTAATAGCAGTAATATATGGGAGTTTAACTACTTGCAGACAGGTAGATGCGAAACGTCTGATAGCCTACTCCTCGGTAGCTCATATGGGAATAGTAACAATAGGTTTATTTACTCATACAATGGAGGGTTTAATAGCCTCTATATTCTTAATGATAGCTCATGGAGTGGTTAGTCCCGCTTTATTTATAGCAGTAACACTGCTCTATGAGAGACATCATACAAGATTAATTAGATATTATAGGGGAGTAGTTATGACTATGCCCCTATTTTCTATTATATTTATGGTGTTTACTTTAGCTAATATTGCTATTCCTCTTAGTTGTAACTTTGTTGGAGAATTTTTATCTTTAGTAGCTGCTTTTTCTACTAGTACATCATTAGGTATTCTCACCTCAACTAGTATGGTTATAGCTGCTGCTTATTCATTATATTTATATAATAGAATTTGTTTTGGGCAACTTTCTCCATATTTGATATTTTCGAGAGATATTAATAGACGAGAGTTTAATGGGCAATTACCGCTAATAGTAGCTATTCTATTATTAGGGGTAGTTCCATATCCCCTAATTGAATTAATTCGTGTGTGTGTATGTGTTTATCTAGATTTAATAATTGTGGTAGGGGCAGGAGTTGAACCTGCATAATCAGATTATGAGTCTGAGAACTTACCGTTAGTTGACCCTACAAGTTTAGCTAAGCTAGGTCCGGGCTAAGAGCCCCACCAGTAAATACATACATATAAAAACAACCAAACCACATCTACAAAATGCCAATACCAGCTAGCAGCCTCAAAACCAAAATGATGATGACGAGTGTAATGATAGCTTATTAGTCTAGCTAAACATACACTCAAAAATATAGTTCCAATTATAACATGAAAACCATGAAAACCTGTGGCCATAAAAAAGGTTGAACCATATACGGAGTCTGAGATTGTAAAAGGCGCTTCGTAGTACTCCATAGCTTGAAGAGCTGTGAACTGAATCCCAAGTATTACGGTACAAGTAAGTGATTGTATGGCTTCTAATCTTTGTCCGCTAACTATAGCATGATGTGCCCATGTAACTGTTGCTCCTGAACTAAGTAATATAGCTGTATTTAATAGGGGCACAGAAAACGGGTCTAACACCTCTATACCAACAGGGGGCCAAACAGCTCCCAATTCTATAGTGGGAGATAAGCTACTATGAAAAAAGGCCCAAAAGAACGCAAAAAAGAAGGCAACTTCAGAAGTAATAAAAAGGATCATTCCATATCTTAATCCTCTTTTTACTACTTGAGTGTGATGTCCTTGAAACGTAGCTTCTCTAATAATATCTCTCCACCAAACAAACATTGTTAATATTATTGTAATTACGCCTAAATACATTGTCCATGTATAACTATAATGAAAATATAATACTAAACCTACTGTAAGCAATAGTGCTCCAATTGAAGCTATATAAGGCCATGGACTAGGATCCACTAAATGATAAGGGTGATAAGCCTTACTCATGGCGAGGAGCTCGCCCAAAAAGCATACGCTTGCATATTACTAATGATATATAATCAACTACACATATAATTTATGCAATGTGCTTAATTCTTGGTGTGATATAACAAGCTATTCTCCACCCAGCCTAATATAGGCACCAGAGCGAAATAACCGAAGTATAATAAAGAAGCTATTTGACCCGCCATCACGTAAGGCTCTTCAACTGGGTTAGCCCCTAACCAAGTTAATAACATAAAATCAGCTACTAAAAACCAAAATGCTATTTTACTTAAGGGCTTAAATGTTAAAGCTCTTAATTTACTAGTATGGATAAAGGGTAATAAAAGTAGTACCAAGATACTTAATATCATAGCTAAGACCCCCATAAGCTTGTTGGGTATAGAGCGGAGTATAGCATATGCAAATAAGAAGTACCATTCTGGTTGTATATGAACAGGAGTTACTAAAGGATTAGCTTGAATGAAATTTTCAGGATCACCTAATACATTAGGCATAAAATAACAAAGTATAACTAAAATAGTGCTAAGAACAAATATACCAAACAAGTCCTTATAAGTATAATAAGCATGAAAGGTAACTTTGTCTATATTAGAATTAATTCCCAAAGGATTATTTGACCCAGTTGTATGTAAACTAATAATATGTAATACGCCTAATCCAGCTATAAGAAAAGGAAATAGATAATGTAAAGAAAAGAAGCGATTAAGAGTCGCGTTAGATACACTAAATCCTCCCCAAATCCATTGAACAACTTCTGTTCCTATATAGGGTATAGCAGAACAGAAGTTAGTAATAACTGTGGCCCCCCAAAAAGACATTTGTCCCCAAGGTAATACATATCCCAAGAAGGCTGTTAACATCATCACTAAGTAAATTATAACTCCGATATTCCAAACATCCATTTTCATGTAGCTCCCATAATAAAGTCCTCTACCCATATGTATATATACACAGAGAAAAAATAATGAAGCTCCATTAGCATGGATATACTTTAACATAAAACCATAATTAACGTCTCTTAAAATATGAGAAATTGAATCAAAAGCTAAATCAACATTAGGGCAATAATGCATAGCTAAAAATATTCCGGTAATCATTTGAATAGCTAAACAAAACCCTAACAAAGAACCAAAATTCCAATAATAACTAATATTAGAAGGGGCTGGTAAATCAACTAGTACCCCATTCACAATAGAGAGTATTGGGTGTTGAGTTCTTATTCGTAATATTCTGTTTGGTGATTCCATATGCATGCGCTCAGGAAGCTTGTGCACATCAATCCCCTTATATGGGGATATATCTCTATACTAGCAAGGCACTGCATTTGAACTTATTAATATACCAGAGACTAAAACAATTAAACCAAGACTGAAAGGTAAGTAAGATTTCCATAATAGATACATAAGCTGATCATATCTCATTCTAGGGAAAAGCTCGCACCCATACAAATGCAAATACTACTGCAGTAGTTTTAAGAGCTAAGCAACCCATTCCTAGAATTCCTGTGAAAGGTGCCCAACCACCTAAAAACAATAAACTTATCAAACAGCTCATTAGAATAATATGGCCGTATTCAGCTAAAAAGAATAAAGCAAACGACATACTAGAATATTCTACATTATATCCAGATACTAATTCTGATTCTCCCTCAGTAAGATCAAAAGGAGCCCGATTAGTTTCAGCTAATGCCGAAGCAAAAAACATTAAAGCAGCTGGAAATAAAGGTATTATATACCAAATTTCGGTTTGAGCTAAAACAATTTGAGTAATATTAAGAGAACCTGCACATAATATTACTGATATTAGAATAAGCCCTATACACACCTCATAGCTAATCATTTGAGCTGCGGCTCTAATAGCCCCTAAGAATGCATATTTAGAATTACTCCCCCAACCAGACATTAAAATAGCATACACCCCCATAGAGCTGATAGCAAAGATATATAAGATTCCAATATTAATATCAGCTAGCACAATTCCGGGGCTAAAAGGTATAACCCCCCAAGCTAAAAAAGCTAAAGTAAGCGATAGAATCGGGGCTAAAATATAAACCGACAGATTAGCATGATTGGGAATAGTCATCTCTTTAGTGAATAATTTTAATCCATCAGCTAAAGGCTGTAATAGTCCGTAAACACCAACTACATTAGGTCCTTTTCGTGCTTGCATATACCCTAACACCTTTCTTTCTGCTAAAGTTAAATAAGCTATAGCTACTAATAGAGGTATTATTATTGCAAGCGTTTTAAAGATAATTGAAATAATAGAACTTATCATCCTAGTTACGGAGGGTGACCAAGTACGTATTGAACGCGCATAACTTGGCCCAAGAACAAGTTCCCTTACCCTTACTATGTTACGACTTACCCATTCTCGAAAAGGAGGGATAACCCCTACGGGCGTCTCGTATCCTTAACTTGAAGGGGACGACGGGCGATTTGTGCTAACACTGGGTTAGAATTCACCGGAACGCTCTACTTTCCGATTACTATCAAATCCTACTTAAGATTTCCGTTTCAGAAAATCTCCGCCTCCTAATTTATTGTGTATATTGTCTAGGAGAATGTAGCGCATATATCCCTTTCCATAAAGACCATGACACCTGACTTAATCCATAATAAGGTTGAGGATAACATTTATTGTTATCCTGACGACGGCCATGCAATGCCTGAGTGGCTACTACCTATAAAGGTAGTCCACTTTCAAGGAAAGGTAAGGTGACACGCGGATCATCGTATTAAATTACACGCTCCTCTGATTCAAACAGTGAACAGCCAAGCCTTTTGAGTTTCAATCTTGCGATCATAGTATTCAGGCATACAATAAGGTTATTTGCTAATAGCTATTGTATAAGTTTAAGGCGAGGACTACCAGGGTATCTAATCCTGTTTGCTATCCAAGCTTTCGTATTTCATGAAGATATATCATGAACGAAGTAAGGAGTCTTCACCTTCGGACTTCCACTCTTGCTTCAAACATTTTACCGCTACCAAGAGGTTTGCCTTACTTTATTCTCATGCTTCACTACATACTTTAACGCCTAATGCGAAATAAAAACTAGGCCTCTAAGTTTAACCGCGTCTGCTGGCACTTAGTTAGACAGACCTTAATGTGAAACCCTGTGTCAAGCGTTTACCCATTGCACAAGATTCTCTACTGCTGCCAAAATGTCTTCCCCTTGTTTCAGTGAAAGTGTGGCTATACTACGCATCTTCGACCAGGTGGGCCACTATCCCACCTATTCTAATACGTCAACCGAGATATTCTCCGTTTTATCCTCACCAGTAGGGCCCTATTCAGGGCCTTGCATGTATTAGAAGAACACATTGCCTTATAGACTCCCCAAGGTCAAAGGAGTAGTGTGGAAATATTTAAATCATCCCCATGACTCAATTTACGCTGATAAACAAATGGTAATTCATTATAAGTATGAAAAGCAGGCGGAGAAGATAAAGACCACTCTAATGAGTTAGGCGAAGTTGACCAACCTTTAAATGGTCTTTCAGCGGCTAATGCCTCATAAGACAAGTAAATGAACCATATAATTCCCACTAGAGCTATTACAGCTCCGCAAGAACTAACTAAGTTCCAATCTTGATAAGCATCAGGGAAATCCGAGTATCTTCTAGGTAATCCAGCTAAACCCAAGAAATGTTGGGGGAAGAAAGTTAAATTAACTCCGATAAACATAACCCAGAAATGGATCTTACCGTATAATTCATTATAACTATAGCCCGTAATTTTTCCGAACCAATAGTAGTATCCCCCAAATATAGCAAATACAGCCCCCATAGATAATACATAGTGGAAGTGAGCTACCACATAATAAGTATCGTGTAATGCTATATCTAATGAACTATTAGCTAATATAACTCCAGTTAAACCACCAATAGTAAATAGAAATACAAACCCAATAGCCCACAACATAGGTGTATCAAGCCGTAAGTTTCCCCCATATATAGTAGCTAACCAGCTAAATATTTTAATTCCAGTAGGAACAGCGATTATCATAGTGGCAGCGGTAAAGTAGGCACGAGTATCAACATCCATTCCAACGGTGAACATATGGTGGGCCCAAACAATAAATCCTAATACTCCAATAGAAATCATAGCGTAGACCATACCTAAATAACCAAAAATATGTTGTTTAGCAGAAAATGTAGGTATGATTTGAGATACCATACCAAATCCTGGTAAAATTAATATATATACTTCAGGGTGTCCAAAAAACCAAAATAAGTGCTGGAATAAAATAGGATCTCCTCCTCCCGCAGGGTCAAAGAATGTTGTATTAAAATTTCTATCTGTCAACAACATTGTAATTCCACCAGCTAATACTGGTAAAGATAACAACAACAATATTGTAGTAATTAATACAGACCATACGAATAGAGGTAATCTATGCATACTCATTCCAGGAACTCTCATATTAATTATAGTAGTAATAAAGTTTATAGAACTTAAAATAGAGGATATACCAGCTAGATGAAGACTAAATATAGCCATATCTACTGCTCCCCCTGAATGGGCTTGAATACCTGATAGTGGGGGATAAATAGTCCAACCTGTACCTGCTCCTTGTTCTATAAACATAGAACCAACCAATAGTATTAGAGAAGGTGGCAGTAACCAGAAACTAATATTGTTTAATCTAGGAAAGGCCATATCGGGTGCACCAATCATTATTGGCACAAACCAATTTCCGAATCCTCCAATCATTATTGGCATTACCATGAAGAAAATCATTAATAAAGCATGTGATGTTACAATAACATTATATAAATGATCATCTCCTAACATACTACCTGGAGCTGATAGCTCTAACCGTATTAACATACTTGAAGCTGTCCCTGCCATCCCAGAAAAAGCACCAAATAGTAAATATAAAGTACCTATATCCTTATGATTAGTGGAAAATAGCCAACGTGTAATATATTTGCTCATGCTTACTCTAGATTAAAAGTAATTTAAGTAAATGAGAACACTCTTGGTGTTGTATATAAATTGGGAAAGCTTTTGGGTGAGTCAGCAAAGTAACATAGCTAGAGAAGAATGAAAACTCCAATGAATGCATTATTAGGGGCTTCGCTCCTACGTGACGCGGCTGAGCCATTTCAACTAAGCTTCCAAGATGCTGCTAGTCCTGTTATGGAAGAGATTTTATTTCTTCATAATCAAATTATGTTTATTTTAACTATTATTATAACAACTGTATTATGGTTAATTATAAGAGGATTAACAGGTCAAGCTTATCATCGTTATCTTATAGAAGGAGTTACAATAGAAATTGTCTGGACTATTATTCCAGCAATCATTTTAGTATTTATAGCATTTCCTTCTTTGAAACTACTTTATTTGATGGACGAGATAGTAGAACCCGGTGTAACAGTTAAAGCTATAGGTCATCAATGGTATTGGTCTTATGAATACTCAGATTATCAAACTGTCTCAGGTGAAGATAGTACCTTAGAATTTGATTCTTATATGATACCTACAAGTGATCTTCAACCCGGCGATCTTCGACTATTAGAGGTTGACAATAAAATGGTTGTTCCTGTTGATACTTATGTTAGAGTTTTAGTTACAGGCGCAGATGTACTCCACTCATTTGCTGTACCTTCATTAGCTATTAAAATGGATGCTGTACCTGGACGTCTTAATCAAACCGGATTTTTAGCTAAAAGACCGGGATTATTTTATGGTCAATGTTCAGAGTTATGTGGTGCTAATCACTCTTTTATGCCTATTGTTATAGAAGCTGTTAGCATGAATAAATATATCAGTTGGCTATCTTCATTATGTGATGATCTTTAGAAGATTTTCCAATCATCAAATATGCCTCACTTAGATATAACTGCTTATTTAACTCAATATAGCTGGACATTAATAATTTTATTAGCACTTTATAGTATTATGAGTTTATTTATTTTACCTAAAATTCAAAATAACTTACGTATAAGAAGTTTACTACAGGAAGAAGGGACAGCCCCTAGTAAGGGATTCGGGGTTAATAGAGCATATGTAATATTACAAGATATACTCCGTAAATAAGCCCATTTCCTACATATATTTAATATGGCAGCTTCTTTCTTTGATCAGTTTAATATAGTTAGGATAATTGGGGGGTATAATTACTAATTCTTCTATTGTAATGCTTATTCTATTGAGTGTAGTAATATTAATAGGAAGTTGTTCATATAAATTAATACCCACAAGATTGCAGGCTATACAAGAAATTGTTTATTCTCACTTTTAGGGTTAGTAAAAGATTCCACAGCTAATAAGGGAACTCAACATTTCATTTTTATAGTAACCCTGTTTACATTTATTGCTGGGTTAAATATATTGGGTTTATTCCCCCTATGTATTTGCCCCAACTTCTCATATTATTGTTACTTTCGGGTTAAGTTTATCTATTTTAGTAGGAGTAACAATATTGGGAATAACACAACACCGTTGGAATTTTGCTTCGATGATGATGCCTAGTGGGTCTCCTATGTTTTTAGCTCCACTATTAGTTGGGATTGAAACAATTAGCTATGCTTCCCAGGCAATTTCTTTAGGTGTTCGATTAGCTGCTAATTTATCTGCTGGGCACCTTTTATTTGCTATATTAGCAAGTTTTGGATTCACAATGATTAGTAATGATATGTTAGTTTTAAGCTTAGCCCCAATATTAGTGATGGTTTTCATAACTTTACTAGAAATTGCTGTGGCTTCGATTCAAGCATATGTATTTTGTCTATTAACTGTTATTTACATCAATAATTCTTTAAACCTACATTAACACATGTAAGTTATATTCTTTTAAATATTAGTAATAACACAATATGTATAGGCGAGTAAGTGATACTAATGGCACATATAGTGTTATGTTAGTTAGTCCTATGATTAAGAATAGGCGGGCGATGACAATTAGTAGCCCCTATAGAGATCGATATGGCTGCAGGGAAATATATTAAATAATATGAATAGTTTATTTATAGTATTCTCATTAGGAATAGTTGGAGCTAGTCTTATGGTTATATCTACGTCGAATCCTGTTTATTCAGTATTCTGGTTAGTTATTGCTTTTGTTAATGCTGCTGTTATGTTTATATCGTTGGGATTAGACTATATAGGCTTAATATTTATAATTGTGTATGTGGGGGCTATTGCTATTTTATTCCTGTTCGTCATTATGTTAATTCAACAGCCTAATAAAGTAGACTCTCAAGATTACTCACATTTTTTACCTGTAGGATTATCTGTTATATTCCTATTTTATAGTTCACTAACCAATATCCCTAAATATGTCAGCAATCCTGTTATAGGATCAAGAACTAACATTGGGGCAATTGGAAGTCATCTTTATACTACTTATTATGAATTAGTAATAATTGCTAGTTTGGTGCTACTAGTCGCTATGATAGGGGCTATATTATTAGCTAAACAGCCAAATTCACCTTTTTTATATAATTCCCACGAGGAATCATCTCGTAGTAGGCAAGATCTTTTCCTACAAATCAGCAGAAGCACCTTCAGGTGCTGTCTGGTCAAGTGCTAATGCACGTCTCCGCTTAGGAATATGGAGAGGAACATGGAATTCAAAGGAATACTAATACTATTTATCATTAGTGGGACATTATCAATTGTAGTTTTAGGGGCATCTTATCTATTAGGATATAAACAACCCGACATGGAAAAAGTGTCAGTTTATGAATGTGGATTTGACCCTTTTGATAATCCGGGAAATCCCTTCTCCGTTAGATTTTTCTTAATTGGTATCTTGTTCTTAATATTTGATCTAGAGATATCTTTTTTATTTCCTTGGGCTGTTACATATATGGGTTTACCTTTATTTGGATATTGGGTTGTTATGTTATTTTTATTTATCTTAACTTTAGGGTTAATTTATGAATGGATAGAAGGAGGTTTAGAGTGGGAAAACTAGCTTCTAATTAGTATTGGCGCATGAATTATTTAGTGTTATCAATTATCATCTTATTAATCGGAATATTAGGTATTATTCTTAATAGAAGTAATTTAATTATTATGTTAATGTGTGTAGAACTAGTTTTACTGGCTTCTACTATTTTACTTCTATTTGAATCTCGTGTGCTCTATACGCTTTTTGGTCAAATTTTTGCGATTGTAATTTTAACTGTTGCAGCTGCAGAATCTGCCATTGGTTTAGCTATTATGGTTAACTATTATCGTTTACGTGGTACAATTGCTGTTCGAGCCTTAAATTTATTGAGAGGTTAACCCTAAATTAAAATGAATCAGATACCTATGCAATATTTTAACTTAGCAGAGGAGAATTATTCTAAGTATGGATTATCAGTCATCCAGCTTATTCAAATTGGTAAGTTCTATGAACTTTGGCATGAGCCTGACACCCCTAGTAGGCAACAAGCATACTCTCAAGCCGAGTTATTAATTGAGTCCTCCATGCGGAGTAAGCCTTTAGAGGTGATGCCTTCTATTGAACAAGTTGCCTCTTTACTTGATATGAAAATCATTAGAAGATCTTTACTTCAAATGGGGTTTCCAACTTATTCCCTTACTACTCATTTAAGTACTTTATTGAATAAGGGTTGGACTGTTATAGTTATTGATGAATTAGTTACTGGTAAATCGGGGCCAAAACAACGTGCAGTATCTCAGGTTTATTCTCCTAGTTGTAACTTAGAGGATTGTTCGGAATTACCATATGTATTATCAATCTATTTTTCTCAGGACGACTTATTGGGTATTACTTTATTTTCAGCCATGAATGGTCATAGTATAATGTTTCCTGTCTCTTGGATGGACAGAGATAAAGTAGTTCGGTTATTAATTAATTATCGTATTAGAGAAATAGTAATTTGGGCAAATTCAGATGGTGATTCAGAAATTTTAATAAATAAAATATATAATTTATTAATTGGTTGGAATTTATTTCCCTCTGAACCCAATGTTAAAATTGAAGTTATGGGAGAAGCGCCAATCAATTTCCCATGTTATTTTTCTTTTAGGTACGAAAATGATAATAAGGAGTGGCTTTTGTTACATATATTTTTGGGGTATTAACGCAGAGTGGTTTAACAAAAAATTATCAAGAATATACTCTTAGTAAGATATTTCAAAGTACTTGGACAGAAGATGTTAATCAGGTAAATATAATTAGCCTTTTAGGAGCATTACAATTTATTAAAGATCGAAATCCCAATCTTATTAAGAACTTACAACTTCCCGAGTGTTACAATTCTGTTATTAGTCCTTTAAACTTAATATTGTGTAATCAAGCAGAATATCAATTAGATTTATTGCCTAAGGGGAAAAAACTAGGTGGTCTACTTAGTTTAGTTGATTATTGTTCTACTGCAATGGGTAAAAGACTACTAAAATTCAGACTTCTTAATCCTATTACAGATTATTCTGAATTAAATTTTCGTTATGAAGATATTGCTACATTTAAACAATTAATTAGCGAGAAAATCTTTGACAATTCCGAGTTAAAACACATTAAAGATTTATCTTCTCTACACCGTCAATGGGCAATATCTGCTTCAAGTGATATTATCTTACCACCTAAAAAGCTTAGTCAAATTTATCATTCTTATTTATTTGCTAATCAATTAATAAACAAATTAATAAATAATATTCAATTACCCCCCTCAATTAAGCCCCAATTAGAATCGTTAATCAAAGCAATAGGTCTAATTTTCCAGGTAGATAATCTTCTAGGCGATTTTAAAGATGTATTACAACCATCTGATAATCTAACCAAGCTTCTTTCACAACAAACTTTAAGGGCCCAACTCACAAAGTGGGCCGAGCAGACTTCAAACATTGTGTTTCAAGATACAATTTCTATTAAAGTTGATTGTTTTAATAAAGAGGGTTATGCTTTCTCTATTTTATCTAAAAATCTAACTAAGTTAGAACATTACATGACTAGTGCCTCTATATCTAATAATTCAATTATTGTGTTGGGTAAAAGAAGAAACTACCTTATAATTACTAGCCCCACCATTCAGAAAGTGTCAATCGAATTAAATTTATTAGAAGAGCAGATTAATGTTTATGTAAAACAGACTTATAAACGAGAACTTAAAAGATTATATTTTAGTCATTTTGAGTTATTTTCGCCTTTAGAAAATATGATTTCTAGAATAGATATTGCATTAAGCGGAGCTATCGCGGCTATTAAATTTAATTATACTAAACCTTTTTTGACACCAACAAAATCCCAACAATCCAAGGGTCTAATTGAAGCAATTAATTTACGACATCCATTAGTAGAACAGTTAAACACTCAAGAAGAATGTGTGGCTCATAATATAAGTCTAGAAGATAAAGGAATGTTAATATTCTCAGTAAATGGCGCAGGTAAATCCACTTTACTTAAAGCAATTGGAGTCAACGTAATATTAGCTCAAGCAGGAATGTATGTAGCTGCAGATTCATTTAGGTTAAGACCTTATCATTATTTAATTACTCGTATTTTAGGGGGAGATGATCTTCATAAAGGCCGAGGTACTTTTGAGGTCGAAATGAGAGATCTTTCAACTATATTAAAGCTAGCTAATTATAACAGTTTAATTTTAGGTGATGAAATTTGTCATGGAACAGAAGTTAGTTCAGGAGCAGCGATATTAGCTGCAACAATTGAAAGATTAACAACTGCACAAACTAGTTTTGCTCTTTCTACTCATTTACACCAAGTTTATTCTTTAATTGATTCACCAGTTCGGTTCTATCATTTATCTGTTATTCAACACGAAGATTTGGGCCTAATTTATGAACGTAAATTAAAACTTGGCCCAGGACCTTCCCAATATGGCATTGAAGTTATGGGCCACATAATTAATGACAAAAAATTTTATAATAGTGCTTTAAAATATCGTAAACTTATTAACTGGAAACCACCATCTCGAAGTGAAGCAAGCTCTTTAGCAGTATTCCGCCCTTCTAAATATAATACTCAAGTTTTATTGATTCATGTGAAATATGCGGAGCTCCAGCGGAGGCTATCCACCACATTCAACCTAAGAAATTAGGTAGTAGAAGATTAAATCGAAGGTCAAACTTAGTGCCAGTTTGCTCAAGCTGTCATTTAGATATACATAGAAATAAAATTTCTATTTTAGGTTGGAAGAAAACCCAGGACATAAGAAATTATATTGGGTTTATCTTAATGAGTCTTAGACAGTGGAACTGAGTAAAGTCTAGGGTCTATCGGTAAGGACGTAAACACGAAATAACAAGGGAGAGACTTTGAACTTGTTTATCCTAACTGAAAAGGGTAAATTGAATAGTTAATTGAAACATCTTATTAGACTATGAGGAATACATCAACTGAGATTCCGTGCGTAGCGGCGAGCGATAGCGGAGGAATTGTCTCAAACAGATAATTAAGATGATTGGACATCTAGACTAAACCCCGATAGACACCTATAGAGAAAGTACCGTGAGGGAAAGACTCAGAATTGGTTCTAAAAGTTACCTTTTGCATAATGGGCCTGCAAGACAAAATTTGGCAAGCTTAAGTATTAATGAAGGCATAGTGAAAGCAAGAGGAAAAAACTCGTAAGTCAAATTTCCCGAAACCAAGTGATCTAACCATGGCCAGGTAGCTATTTGCTGACCGAACCAGTGATTGTGGCAAAAATCTTGGATGAGCTGTGGTTAGCGGTGAAATACCAGTCGAACTTGGATATAGCTGGTTCTCTACGAAACTTATCTTAGTAAGGCGCCCCAAGTTGATTCGCCCCCAAACCCGGGGGCTTGAATTACTGGTGCAGTAAGACTATAGCGATAAGGCTTCTAGTCAAAGGGTAAGCCCTAACCAGAAATTAAAGTCACTAATACAGATTAAGTGTATAAAGAGGGTTCAACTTAGACAAACAGGAAGTAGGCTTGGAAACAGCCATCTGTACAGGAAAACGTAAAAGTTCACTGAATGAGCTAGAAAACTCTAAAATCAAGGCGGCTAAATCTGTAACTAAAATTCTGGAAGTCAGACCATAAGGAAGCAACTGGCTTGGTAGTAGAGCGTTCTGTAAGCACGATATGTGCATACTTCGTGAGACAAACAGAAGTGATAATGCAGGCATGAGTAGTACAAGATTCACTCCCAAATAAATCTATATACAGCTTCTAAGGGTATTACGCCCGATGAATTATAATTCTTGTACTTGTTCAGGAAAATATTATGGTACTTTGTACCTTCAACTGTTATTATGGGACTTAGATCAAGGCATAATTTCTCTTAAGGAACTCGGCAAAATAAGATCTCGACTGTTTACCAAAAACATAGCTCTCTGCTAAAGGTTACTGAAGTATAGAGGGTGAATTCTGCCCAATGGTTGTATAGTGAAACTAAGGACTAACGTCTAAAGCGAAACCCAACTGAATGGCCGCGGTAACTCTGACCGTGATAATGTAGCACAATAAATAGCCAATTAATTGTTGGCGGGTATGAATGGAACCACGAGGGTCTTACTGTCTCAAGAGGAAAGCCGATGAAATTATAGTTGTAGTGAAGATACTACATAATCATTGTAAGACGAAAAGACCCTATCGAGCTTTACTGGATACCAATAACGTTGACTAAAAATGATCGATACAAGTATCCTAATTTTGAGTTAGTAATTTTGTTGGTAAGACAGTTTAGTTGGGGCGACTACCTTTGAATAAGAAACGAAGGCGAGCTTATTGGTATAAAAGCTAATCTCATTAGCCTGACAGTGAGGGGGACACCCCTAGCTGGCACAAGGACATAGTCCTATGTGGGCGATAATGACCCGATATGATAGTCCAAAATAAATATCGAAAGCGGATAAAAGCTACCGTAGGGATAACAGCGTAATATTGTCGGAGAGTTCTTATCGAGGACAATGTTTGCGACCTCGATGTTGAATTGCGGTGCCCTGGTGCTGTAGAAGGTACCTTAGGTTGGTCTGTTCGACCATGAAAACCGTACATGATTTGAGTTCAGAGCGTGGTGACACAGCTCGGTTTCTATCTACAATGATCAATCCCAACTTTTCTGAGTCCTAGTACGCAAGGAATGGTCTCAGCGATGCTCGACTATATTGGCCCCATCGACGTAATCAACTTCTGGCTGCTGCAAAGAAGGAAAACAAAAGGTTTAGGGATTAACAAGGCATATGCCATGTGGGTGCATAGCCCTGGCATATTATGGAATTAACACTAGGGCTCATTATACTAATAGTGTTGACATATGGATTAAAAGCCCCGACTTTAAGATTAGCTATACTACTTGCGGGGTTGTGGGGGCTACTGAGTTATTAACTGAGCCCCATTTACTATGTTGGACACAGGCTATTAAAATGTTGGTGATGATAAGTGGATTAGCTATACTATGTATGCTGGACCATCAAACATCGCATCGATCAAGCTCTTTATTGATTTTATTAGTGATCTTAGGTAATTTATTACTTATAGGGTCAACAAATTTAATTTCTATATATTTAGCATTAGAGATGCAAACATTATGTATGTTTATCTTAGTGGCTTATAATAAAAGCTCATTGTTATCGGCAGAAGCTGGACTTAAATACTTTGTGTTAGGGGCACTATCTTCGGGGTTGTTTCTGTTTGGTTGTGCTTTAATTTATGGCTCCACAGGAGAACTTGAACTTCAATTTATTCGTATGAGTTTAGAATCTTATGGTGTATTAGCTGGTAAGTGTCTTATTACTATCTCATTGTTATTTAAAGTGTCTGCAGCCCCATTTCATATGTGGGCCCCCGATGTATACGAAGGAGCTCCAACTTGGGTAGCTGCGCTATTATCTATTGTACCTAAATTAGGAGTACTAGCTATTATAGTACAAATAGGCTTAAATGAAATGGGGCTATTAATAGCTGGGTTAATCTCTTTGATTGTTGGAGCTATAGGAGCTTTGAATCAAACTCGAATAAAAAGACTACTAGCTTATAGCGGAATAGGCCATATGGGGTTTGTGTTACTTGGAATAGCTATTGGGTCTATAGAAAGTCTTCAGGCGAGTTTAATGTATATAGGTGCTTACATAATAACTCAAGTATTACTTTGGTCTGGAGTCCTAATTATATCCCCTAAAAGAAACATGCTTATTGAATTTAGTGGTGTTTCAAGATTAAACCCAATGTTAGCATTAGCATTAGCTACAGGTTTATTGTCTACTGCAGGAATTCCTCCTTTAATTGGGTTTCTAACTAAATGGTATGTAATTTTAGCAGCTGTTGGTCAAGGTTACTATCTCAGTGCTTTACTAGCTTTAGTTTGTTCTGTGATAGCTGGAGTTTATTACATTAGATTAGTAAAAATTATGTTCTATCAACCTTTGTCTACGCCTTTAGTAATAACAAATATATTAAATTCTCCATGTGGCAATGTAACACCAGAGGAAACAAGTTTAGGCAAGGCAATATTAATGGGGGCAAGTTTATATTTAGTGTTAACAATTATAATATGTCCTAGTTTATTCTTTCAATTAGTACACTTGATTATCTTAGATTTATTCCCATGTATCTTCTAGTTATATTAATACCATTACTAAGCGCAGTCGGAAGCGGATTAGGGGGGTCGCTATTTAGGAAGAAAGGGGGGCTGGCTTGTTAAGTTCTGTGTGGGTTCTCGTCAGTAGTCTCCTTTCTTTTGTGTTATGTTATGAAATCCTGATTAATGGGTCTACAGTATATATAGAGTTAGGCAGATGGATAGAGTCATATTTACTAATAACTAGCTTTGGCCTACAATTTGATATGGTAACAGCTGTAATGTTAATTGTAGTTACAACAATTAGCGGGTTAGTTCATGTGTATTCTACAAGTTATATGAGAGAAGATCCCCACTTACCTAGGTTTATGAGTTATCTGTCTTTATTTACCTTTTTTATGTTAATTTTAATTACTAGTAATAATTATGTGCAATTATTTATTGGTTGGGAGGGTGTTGGTTTATGTTCTTATTTATTAATCAACTTTTGGTTTACGCGCATACAAGCTAATAAGGCGGCAATTAAAGCAATGTTAATCAATAGAATAGGAGACATAGGATTAATGCTGGCTATTATATTAATCTGGAAAGAATTTGGGGCAGTAGATTACTGTAGTTTATTTCCGGCTTTATCACCATCTTCAGCTTGTACTTGGATTTGTATATTATTAACTATAGGGGCTGTAGGAAAATCTGCTCAATTAGGGTTACATACTTGGTTGCCGGATGCTATGGAAGGGCCGACACCTGTTTCGGCCCTAATTCATGCAGCAACAATGGTAACAGCAGGAGTATTTTTAATTATAAGATCAGCTCCCCTTTTTGATTACTCTCCAACTGCAACAATAATTGTAGGCTTAGTTGGTTCCTTAACTGCTTTTTTTGCAGCTACAGTAGGATTAGTCCAATCGGATATAAAAAAAGTTATTGCTTATTCTACTTGTAGTCAACTAGGATACATGGTGATGGCTTGCGGTACTTATAGCTGTCTAAGTAGTTTGTATCATTTACTAACTCATGCTTTCTTTAAGGCTTTATTATTCTTAGGAGCAGGCTCAATAATTCATGCCCTTTTGGATGAACAAGATCTTAGGAAGATGGGGGGGATAATCCGAGGTCTACCTCTAACATATGTATTAATGTTGATTGGTTCCTTATCTTTAGCTGGTTTTCCCTATTTATCTGGATTTTACTCCAAAGACTTAATATTAGAATTAACTTATAATAATTATTGTATAATATCTATTTATTGGTTAGCTTCAATTACAGCCTTCTTAACTGCTTTTTATTCATTCCGATTAATATACTTAAGTTTTGTGTCTAAACCTAATTTAACACGTATAAGCGCACAACACTTACAAGAAGCTGATTGGAATTTATTGGGTCCTTTATTAGTATTAGCAATAGGAAGTATCCTAGTTGGTTATATAGCTCAAAATATGGTGTTTGCACCAGGTGAACGTCCCTTGCCGCTTGTACCTACAATAGTCTCTTTAGCACCAGTTATTATGTCTGTAACAGGAATATTATTAGTGTTCATACTTCGTCCATATATTATATATTATACTACACACCCTAGCATATATGGTTTCTTATTTTATGCTTGGGAATTTAATCAAATAGCAAATTATTATATTGGAAGTACAGTTTGGAAGTTCGGCCATATTGTCTCTTATCGTATCATTGATAGGGTATTTTAGAGATTTTAGGTCCCACTGGGATAGCCCAATTCATGGTCAACAGAACTAAAGAGTTAAGCAGTTTACAATCTGGTTTAGTATTTAATTATGCATTAATGATATTAGTTGGAACAGCTATCGCACTTAAGTACCTAGTCGTAAATTAGAAACAGAATAAAGAAAAGTTCTTCTCTAAATCCTAATAACCTCCGAATAGGAGAAACTAGCCAGAGTAGTGGCTAGTAATTATATAATATGATATTAGCTTTTATAGTAGGCTCTATATTAATAAGTATAGTAATAATAGCATTAACTCCAAGGGAAAATAGTATGAAACTACGCCAGCGAGCGTTAGAGTGGTCTCTGATTACATTTGCTCTCTCTATTTTATTATTAGTTAACTTTCATCAAGAGGCTCAATTTCAACAGATAATAGAATTTAATTGGATAAGTACAATGGGTTGGTTTGAAGGTTCTCCAATATTGTTTGCTATTGACGGGATCTCTATATTTTTCATTGTACTAAGTACTTTATTAACCCCAATTTGTATTTTAGTAAGTTGGAATAGTATTAAATTTCTTGTTAAGGAGTTTATTATATGCCTTTTAGGTATGGAGTTATTATTAATAGGAGTATTCTCAACATTAGATCTGTTAATATTTTATGTGTTATTTGAAAGTATATTAATACCTATGTTCTTAATAATAGGAGTGTGGGGAGCTCGGGCAGAAAAATAAAAGCTGCTTATTATTTTTCTTTTATAGTTGGTTCAATATTAATGTTACTTAGTATAGCAGTTATTTACAGAATAACAGGTACAACTGACTATTTATCTTTAACTAATATTCAGATTGATAGTAACATTCAAATTTGGCTGTTTATGGGTTTCTTTCTTAGTTTAGCAGTCAAGGTACCAATGATGCCCTTTCATATATGGTTGCCTCTTGCACATGTTGAGGCTCCTTTAGCTGGTTCAGTGATTCTAGCTGGGATATTATTAAAATTAGGGGGCTATGGATTCATTCGATTCGCTTGGCCCCTTTTCCCGAAGCAACAGAGTATTTAGCACCAATCATACTAACGTTATCACTAATAGCAGTAATATGTGGGTTTAACTACTTGCAGACAGGTAGATGCAGAAACGTCTGATAGCCTACTCCTCGGTAGCTCATATGGGAATAGTAACAATAGGTTTATTTACTCATACAATGGAGGGTTTAATAGCCTCTATATTCTTAATGATAGCTCATGGAGTGGTTAGTCCCTTTATTTATAGCAGTAACACTGCTCTATGAGAGACATCATACAAGATTAATTAGATATTATAGGGAGTAGTTATGACTATGCCCCTATCTTTCTATTATATTTATGGTGTTTACTTTAGCTAATATTGCTATTCCTCTTAGTGTAACTTTGTTGGAGTAATTTTTATCTTTAGTAGCTAGCTTTTTCTATCTAGTACATCATTAGGTATTCTCACCTCATTAGGCATAAAAATAACAAAGTATAACTAAAATAGTGCTAAGAACAAATATACCAAACAAGTCCTTATAAGTATAATAAGCATGAAAGGTAACTTTGTCTATATTAGAATTAATTCCCAAAGGATTATTTGACCCAGTTGTATGTAAACTAATAATATGTAATACGCCTAATCCAGCTATAAGAAAGGAAATAGATAATGTAGAAAAGAAGCGATTAAGAGTCGCGTTAGATACACTAAATCCTCCCAAATCCATTGAACAACTTCTGTTCCTATATAGGGTATAGCAGAACAGAAGTTAGTAATAACTGTGGCCAAAAGAGACATTTGTCCCCAAGGTAATACATATCCCAAGAGGCTGTTAACATCATCACTAAGTAAATTATAACTCCGATATTCCAAACATCCATTTTCATGTAGCTCCCATAATAAAGTCCTCTACCCATATGTATATATACACAGAGAAAAAATAATGAAGCTCCATTAGCATGGATATACTTTAACATAAAACCATAATTAACGTCTCTTAAAATATGAGAAATTGAATCAAAGCTAAATCAACATTAGGGCAATAATGCATAGCTAAAATATTCCGGTAATCATTTGAATAGCTAAACAAAACCCTAACAAAGAACCAAAATTCCAATAATAACTAATATTAGAAGGG